TGAATGGTTCGTTTTTTTGAATAGATACATAATAGTACTGAAACCCTTAGGCAAGCCATTTGCCATTAAAAAAAAAAAACTTGCTGTATCAGCGTAATAGTAGCTAACTTGTTTACCTTGGAGTTGTTATGTGGATTTTATAAACTGAAAAGTGCTACATAAATGTACAATAATAGTAATGATAATGAGAAAGCCAAATAGGTTAATTAACTCCATTATTAGCAATTGATAGGTAAATTGATTTTTAAATTTTTATAAGGAACTTGTTTGAATGAAGTACTGGTTTTGTTCACCTTTGTTTTAGAATGTTTTGAAAAACAGTTCTATTGAGGTTTAAGTTACATACATAAAATTCACCCATGCACTGCTTTTTATTAAATTTGTAGAGTTATATAACCATCACCACAATCCAGTTTTTATAGCTTGCAATGATTTTATTTTTTTATACAAATAATTAAAATATTTTTCAGCAATATTAAAATGAGAAGTGAAAGAGATTAAGGCTTGCTGGTTTTACTTTCTTCTGTTTCTTCCTATACTAAAAAAGAAAGATAAGCTTTTTGTTTCTTTCAAAAAGACTTCTCAGCTAGGGAAAAATTAATCCAAAAGAAGAGACTTCCTTTTATACCTAGATAAAAAGTCTAATTTTAAAAGCTACATTATTATTTTTCATTTTTGATGAATATAAGTGCTTAAGTGGATTTCTTGAAGACAAGATTAGCAAATAGATTTCTTGAATGCTTTATCATGCAAGCATTCATTCATTAACTCAGTCATTGTTTCATTGCTGTTTTGTGAAGTAATAAGTGTCTTGGTCACAGCTGACTCTTCTGCTTTTCCCCCCTATTTATACTATTTTTAAAATTTATTTTAAGTTGTGGTAACTAACACATAATATAAAATTTACCATCTTAACCATTTCTAAGTATATAGTTCAGTGATGTTAGTGTTAAGTATATTCACATTGTTATGCAGCCAATCTCCAGAACTTTTTCATCTTGCAAAACTGAAACTCTATCTATACTCGTTAAAAACAACTATCCATCCTTGTCTCTCCAGCTTCTGGCAACCATCATTATATTTTCTTTTTCTGTAAATTTGTTCACTCTGGATACCTGAGTGAAACCATATAGTATTTGTATTTTCGTGACTGGCTTATTTCATTTATCATAGTGCCCTCAAGATTCATCCATGTTGTAGCATGTGTCAGAATTTCCTTCATTTTTCATGCTAAATAATATTCCGTTGTGTATATATATCATGTTTTGGTTATCAATAGACATCTGCATTGCATCCACTTCTTAGCTATTGTGAATAGTGCTATTATGAACGTGGGTATGAAAATATCTCTTTGAGCTCCTGCTTTCAATTTTTTTTAATAAAAATTTTTTTCCTTCTTAATATTTTTTATTTTTAAATTATAGTTGGTGTACAATATTATACTAGTTTCAGGTATACAACATAGTTATGAGACATTTACACAACTTACAAAGTGATCATCCCAATAAATCTAGTACCCATTTGACACTGTACAGTTATTCAGTATTACTGACTATATGCTTTTTGCTAAACTTTACATCTCCATGACTATTTTGTAACTACCAATTTGTACTTCTTAATCCCTTTCCCCTTTTTCACCTACCCGAATCCCCCTCCTATCTGGTAACCTTCAAATGTTCTATGTATCTATGAGTTTGTTTCTGTTACATTTGTTTATTTTGTTATATTTTTTGTTATATTTGTTTATTTTGTTATATAGTTTATTATATTTAGATTCCACATGTAAGTGAAATCATATGGCATTTGTCTTTCTCTATCTGACTTACTCCACTCAGCACAATACCTTCTAGATTCATCCATGTTGTTGCAGATGTAAAGATTTCATTTATTTATTTATTATACCTGAAACTAATAAAAAAGTGAAGTTTTCTCTTTAAAATTAAGGGAGGTCAGTCATGAATTTCCTGTTCCAAATGTTTGACGTTATTGTACTAAATATAACAGAGTATGATGATTCTCTAAATTGGATGAAGTTAGGAGCAGGGGCATTGGGAAGGAAAGTAGAAAGGGAAGGATTGGGGTTTGAGAGCAGTTATGAAGAATAAAGAGTATTTTTTACTGAAATGATGAGATCATTAACAGAATAGCTTGAGAAACTTTGGTATACTTTTATTCATAGAAGAATAGTCTACCCAAATCCAGAATTTTAACAAAAATAATTTTAAAATTAAAGATAAGGGTCTATAGAAAGCTATAGGAGTGGAGAATGGAGAATAAGTAGGAGTGCTCTACTTATTTAAATGGCCACATGTGGCTAGTAAGAGCTATTTTGGACTGGCAAATCTAGAAGAGTTCACCTTTCTTGTTAGGTCCCAAAGATTTAGATCCATGGACTGAATTACATGTTGTACATATATTCTCTGTGTTTGTAGCATTGAATAAGACCATTAAGACATTGAACTGCATGAAAGAAAGTAATCAGTCTGATAAGGACAAATATTCAGATATACTTGAAAACACTGGTAGAATTTATTTCACCGATGATAGTCTTTGAGAAATAGTGGATGATTCCTTTGTTGAAGGTGAACTCATTGAGCAGATAACAATCAGCTTGTAATAATTTCTTCTAAAATTTTATCCAGAGGTTTCAAACTATTTTTACCAAATCCTAATTAAGTTTTAATACTTACTTCCTAAATAACACTCTAAACTTATTGGAACACTATTTACTATAAACATGATTTAGAGTTATGCCTTATAGTATATATTCACAGAGATCTAGTTATTATAATATCAAATGCCTGGATGATCTCCTGTACTAGATTGTAAAGTAGGTCTCAAAGTATTTATATATGTTGTATGGCTTCAAAATAGTGTTTCTTCTTAGAGTAATTTCATTTCAAAGTTAACTCCTTTCTTTTTATTAGTTTTAGAGAGGTCTTAATACTTTTCTAGCTTTTTTTTTTTTTTTTAGGTGAAAGGCTGTTTGATAATTACAAGTTATCATTGAATAATTGTTAAAATGTTTGTCTCTATAACACTTTATAAAAGTATTGAGCTACTGTTTGCCTTATTTACAAAAATTTACCTGATCCATCTATACTCTTATCTGGGATGAACCCAGATGGATTTTACCCATATTTAGAAAGCCATTTCCTGCCTTTACATTTAGCTTCAGCTAAAAATTAAATTCAGATTTGCCTCCCAAGGAACAATTAGCAATGTCTGAAGATGGTTTTTGTTGTCAAACTCATGGCATCTAGTGAGTAGAGGCCAGCGATGTTGCTAAACAGCCTAACAATGTACAGGACAGTACTCCGGCCCCCAAATCATTATCTAGCCCAAAATATTAATTGTGCTGCGATTGAGAAATCCTGTTATAAGAGTAATCTTATAAAACTGCCCAAACCTTCTATTTTGAAAGTACGTCTAACTGGTTGTTTTGTTCATCCTGCTTAAAGCAAATTTAAAAAATAAAGGTAAATATAACTGAACTTTATTTTAACCTCCCTTTGTTTCAAGGTAATACCTGGACTAGTTTTGAGTTGTTCTAAACTGTTATCTAACTGTAATATGGTCCATCTATGCAAATGAACAGATTTTATTTCTATCATTTGTCCCTCAAATAGATCTCTGTACCAATTTGCATTTCTGTCAGAAGTGTATGGGATGAATGGGTATAACTGCAACTTGTCCTTAGGTAATTAATACTCCAGGATTAGCTAGATCATAGGTAGGTGAGCAGAAACAGAGAAGGACAATTCAGACTAATAATTAAGTATTTTATTGAATATATGGGCCTGGGGATTAACCTGCCTTCTTAGGGAGAATGGAAGCATCTGTGACATTAGAAACTCTGTCACATTTAAGCTGGTGGAGGATGACAAATCCATGAAGGAATCTAAGGAATATAAGAAGTAAGAGGGGCATGAAGAGAAAAGAATATTTTGCAAGCCAGGGGAAGACTTTTGAGAAGAAGGCAATAGTCATCAATGATAAATGTTACTGAGAAAAAAAAGTATCTAATCTATCCATTGGTTTCCTTTCAAACTGGATAAGATCAGGGTGCTATTTCTTATCATGTGATATCTCTCTCGAAATTTGCAGATTTTAGGAAAGAGGCTTTGTCTTTGAATTTGAAATTACCAAAGGCAGATGGTAAGAACTATATATATAAAGTTCTTTGAACTTTGAACCACAAGTTTTATATATATAAAACTTGCCCTATAAAAGAATTGTTTTTTTTTTTTTAGAATCATTGTCAAGTGCCAATGGATTGCTAGCCCATTCTAGTCAGACCGAAATTTTTTTCCAAAATAGTAATCTGATCATGTTGCCTCCCCCAATTTATAACTTAAACATTCCTTGTGGTGTTAGTATAAAGCTCAAAATGCTGCATGCTTCTCTAGCATAATTTTGCACTATTATCCTTGCTTTCTGTATTTCAGCTACATTGGCTTTCTTTCTTTTCCTTGGATACTCTCTTTTCCTCCCACAAAAAGGCTTTTGCATATCATATTCCCTGAAATATTCTTCTCTGACCTTCTTTGCCTAGTTAACTTCTACTCATCTTTCATATGAGTGTCAGGTTTCTCAGGGAAGCCTATCATTATCTGCTAGTCTAGGCCAATTTCCTTTGTTATAGGCTCTTATTAAACCATGTCTCTTTCATAGCACTTATTTCATATTAGAAATATCCATTCATGTTTTTGATGATTAATGTCTCTTTCTCCCACTTGCCTGGAAGCGTCATTGGGCCAAGGACCATGTCTCCACTTTGCCCATCATTGTTTTTCTAGATCCTAGCACAATCCTGGCTCTCAGCAGGCTCTTAGTAATAGCTAATATTAGTAGTTAATTTAATACCTACATTTACTGTGCTAGGCATTGTTCCAAATCTTTTATGTTTTTAACTCATGTAATTGTAAATATTTATGAAATGAATAAATCACTGAATAAATGTCTTCTAATTTCTTTAGTCTCATCTCTCAATTCTGCATTTTATTTATTCTGCAGCCATACTACATATTATAAGTTGGCTCCATTTGCTTGGGTTTCAAGTCTTAGCATGTGCTGTTTCCTTTATACACATTTCTTGTCAGACAGACTCACATTTTTTCCCTCTCAAATTCAGCTCAAATTTCACCTCCCACCCCATAAGATTTGTCAGAGTTCATCACTCATTAAATCTAGATTAGATGAACCTTCTCAGTGCTTCCATGCTATCTTATCCATACTTTTCTCACAGTACCAACTATATAATGTATTATAATTTTATTTACAGACTTGACAGATTTAGTCCCTGTCTTCAAGGAATGTACAGAAGCTCTTTGATGAGAGGGCCGAAATTTTCATTGTTGGTCTTGGTGTAATGAATATAGATCTAAGATGGTATTATGGTATTCTTTCCAAGTGACATTCAAGAGGATTTAGATCTGCTAGTGTAATGCAACAGTTTTCAGACTATGGAAACATATCCAACAACTTTATTTTGGGGTTGAGGGAGAAATGGAGTAGAAAATAGATGGATGAAAAATTAAAACACCCAATAATGATTATTGGTCTAGTATCAACAGGACTGCCCCATTTGTATGAGTTATGCCTTGCACAAAGGTGCCTGGTTGATAACGAAGACTGAAATGCAGTCCATATATTCCAATGTGCTCTCAAAGCTTTGAACCACAATGCTAGATTGCAGTTGTCCAGAGGAAGGTATGCCTCTTTGTAACTAATACATAAAAGTGGGTACCTTTTTCCAATTCACACACGAGTACAATATGAACTAGGAGTGGCCCTGGGGATCAAAACTTTAATTTCAGATTTTAGCCTCTGTTCGTTAACCTTATCAGTTGATAGAAATCTTTAGACCTACATGCGGAGGACATAACTATTATTGAAGAAAGGCTTACAGCTCATTCAATATTTAATGAATGAATGGATTCATATAACTGACCATGTTCTCTTTGCCATGAAAGTTTTTGGTTTCAAATGCTGCTTGAAGGTAATGGGTTATCAGTTATAAACAGAAAATATTTTGCTTTTTCTGTTCAGAAATTTTGGTTAGAATAAATATTTTTTTTTGTAAAGTTTTGCCTATAGCGGACTTTGGACAAATTATTTTGTTTTCAAACAGTGAAATCTTGTATATATTTACTTATCTTTGTAGAGATTAAAGAAGCTGCTCATATCTTGTCACATGTCGATAATGACAATATTAGTATACCTAACCTGGAGCGTGCCCTTAAAAGTTTAAATGTTAATTTAATTGAGGAGGACTTCAGTGAAGCACTTAAATGTTGTGACATCAATGGTGAACACTTTTTGTCTTGAGATTCTTTTCATTTTTCTCTATTTATGGGAAACAGTCTTAGAGTGTATGTATGTGAATAAGATGCTAAAGGGAGTCATACTGAAGACTTAGGTTGATACAAATCAGAGCCCAAATAGTCTACTAATTTAAATATTTATTGACATATCTAACTGTTCATACTGATCTGGATACTATATTACCATTTATTACTTATAAGCATGGGAGGGAAGATACCATATATTATGTAATAAAACAAAGGCATGACACCTTCATTTTGATATGTAATCTTTCTTCAGAGGAGATCCACTTTCATCTCTCCTCTTATAGTACTTGTCCCATTTCTGCTGTTTTTTTTAACCAACAGAAATACCTGAAGGCACACTACATTTTAAAAGAACAATTATTTTGTTTTGGTTTTTATTTCTGAGTGGGCCCATATTTAACTTTGTTTTCCATCTTTGGTTTCGTGAAATACGTACTGATCTCATTTCCTGTACACATTCACTCTTAAGAAGTTAAAGCATGTGGGAATACTTCTAGAGGCTGCTGTTTAATAGGTTTTAGGTGACCCTTTACTTCAGGCTTGTCTTAACCAGTTTGTTTTTTCTATGGGAATCCCCTGAGTCCTGGGTTAGAGAATACCTCCCCAGAACAGTTTGGTTATTGCTTTTGCTAGATAACCCAGGTTATTATTGACCTGGATCAATATTTGTGTTTTGACCTGGGGTTTCTCATATCATGGGAGTGGTATAGCTTTGGACTTCAAACACACATGAGATGTAGGCTGGGCTTTCCATTATTCACTGGCGATTTTCCCCTAACTGCCCCTAAGAATTAGGAAGATTGTTGTTTGCCCAGGCCAGTGAATATATGTTAATCTCCCTTTCACTGGTTCGAAATCCTTTAAGCATTCAGTTTCATTTGGTATTTAAATTCAAGCTCTTCATTTAGCATGGACCCAAGTCCTTTTTTATGACTCCACATGGACATTTAAATAAAGCAGCTCACCATTTCTGGGTCTGATATATATCCACGAGATAACTGTAGCCTTAGTACTCACTCTTAGTTTCCACTCTGGATCTCAGTGCCCACTTAACTTTTTATTATTTCCTTTTCATATGACTTGATGATGTATTTATAGAATGTTGTATTTCATATAGCATCTCTAAGGATTTGTAGTGGGATGGTATTTAGTTGTTACTTGAAGTCTCCTTAATGTAATTATAGCCCTAGATTTTCTGCTGTAAATTATTGTATCTTCAAGTGTGCGTGTGCGTGTGCGTGTGTGTGTGTGTGTGTGTGTGTGTGTGCCCTATTATGTCATTAATGTCACCTCCTGCCTTAGACTGCCTCAATTCAAATACTGCCTCTAGCACTTTTGGCTTTGCGTCCTGGACAAATTATTTAATTTCTATTGGCTTTTATCTTTAAAAAATAAGCATATTAAGAGTACCCATGTCATAGAATTATTGTGAAGATTACATGAGTTAAGCACCATAAAAGGATGCCTAGTATATATAGGAACTCAAAAGTCATATGTTTTACTTTTGAGTAAGAACTGAAAAAATGTTAGCTATTAATATCATTAACTGTTCAATGGTGGTTCCTAAAAATATGAAAAGTTATATTGAAGTTGTTTTAATTGTTTGAGACAGAAAAAATGAACTAGAATAAAATTTTAGGTAAATCAGAGCCTTTATTTCATGTGCCAATTCAGTATCAAGTTTTTGATATCAGCATGTTTGATTTTGACCTTCCAGATAATAAGGAGGTGGATTTAAAAGATTTCTTAAGGGAAATTAAAGAAAGTCCACATTTCAAAGAGTCAATAGGTAAGTAAATACTTCTATTTCCAAGAAAAATTACTGTAAAATAAAGATAATGAAATGGCATTAAAAATCACTATATGGATTTCAGGTCTTTAATTTTTAGTCTCTATAGTTTCAAAAAGGATTTCAAGCAGCTTACAAAATATAAATAATACAAGAATATAAAAATAAGTGAGGAAATGGGACAAGTTTTAATGAGGGAAGAAGAACTAAGATAGGGTTGAAAAAGATTTATGGTAAATACCTTTGCTGTTATTACAGAGTTCTTCCTCAAGAGAAGTTTTTTCTTTTATTCAAGGGATTCTGGATAGGAATTAAATCAGGTCTGAAAGTTGGGTAGGGGACCACTGCTCTGTTTTGTGCCATCTCAAGTGAGGCCTCTGGAATTTTCGTGTGTACCCAACTGGACTCCCATCTATTTTATTTATAGAAATCTTAACTTCAACTAATTGGTCCCCATAAATCCCTGCAGTATTAATCACTGTATCATTCTTACTACCATACCTTCTCTGTTGCCTCACCACATCATTTCCCTGCCTGCTATTTAAAGACTATTACTTGGCCTCTGTCCCTGAGGATCCTCTCTTCCTCCTTGCAATTAGGGAGACCGTTTCAACACCAACATCTTTTCCTAACCCCCAAGTGTGCAGAGAATACCTATCAAAGAACTCTTCATACATGCAGACACTCCATGAACAATGTATTTCTAAATGCTTTGGTGAAGCAAATTTCTTTCTTTCTTTCTTTCTTTTTTTTTTTGCATTTTAATATCTCTAAAATTGGAACACCTTTATAATCAATGGCATTTTAAGTCAGATGTATGTTTTTTATTGAGATATAATTCACATACCATAAAAATCATCTTTTAAAAGTGTATATAATTCAGTGATTTTTAGTATATTCACAAAGTTGTGCAACCATCATTACTGTAATTCCATGATATTTTTATCACTACAGAAAGAAACCCTATACCCTTTTGCAGTTACTCCCCATTCCTGCCTCTTCGCAGACACTGACAAACACTAATCTACCTTCTGTATGGATTTGTCTATTTTGAACATTTCACATAAATGAGATCATATAATATATGGTCTTTTGTGTCTGAGTTATTTTATTTAGCATACTATTTTCAAAGTTTATCTATATTATTGTATGAATCAATACTTCGTTCTTTTTTGTGGTGGAATAGTATTCTAGTATATGGATATATCACATTTTGTGTAGCCATTCATCAGTTCATAGACATTTGGGTTGCTTCCATTTTTCAGCTATTATGAATAATGCTGCTGTGAATATCTGTGTACTTTTCTTGAGTACGAGTTTTTGGATAGACATATATTTTTATTTCTCTTGGATATATACCTAGGAATGGAATTGCTGGGTAATATAGTTTAACTTTTAAAAATATTTATTATATATATATTTTTATCAAATTTATTGGGGGTAACACTAGTTAATACAATCATATAATTTTAAGGTGTACATTATAATTTGACATCTATATATTCTATTGTGTAATTACTACCCAAAGTTCAGTTTCCTTCAGCTACCATATATTTGATCCCCTTTACCCACTTCCCCCTCCCCTTACCCCCAAATTTGACCCCATTTACCCTGTATATCTCTCCCCTCCTCCCCGACTTCCTACTCTCTGGTAACCACTAGTCCATTGTCCATATTCCTAAGTCACTGTTTGTCCTGTTGATTTGTTGCTTTTGGGTTTATATCCCACATATAAGTGATATCATGCAATTTTCAACTTTTTCAGTCTGGCTTATTTCGCTTAGCATGATTATCTCGAGGTCCATCCATATCTTCGCAAATGGCAGTATTTCACAGCTTCTTTAGCCAAT